CAAAACCAACAACAGCAGCAACGACAACTACGACAACAACAACGGCAACAACGACTATGACTACGGCTACACGACTACGACCACTACTACTACTACTACTACTACTACTACTACTACTACTACTACTTCTGCTACTACTGCTGCTGCTGCTGCTACTACTTCTACTACTGCTGCTGCTGCTGCTGCTACTGCTACTACTACTACTACTACTACTACTACTACTACGACCACTAGTATTATTACTCGCACATTGTGCCGGGAATTTGGAACTTTGGTTTTTTCGGAAAAATCTTGCAATCTGGCCCTAGTTGCGCCACTTGGGGGGGAGCAAGAGTGCCAGCAGCTTGCTCAATTGCTCGCCGCTGTATACCGTTTGGACCAACATTGCAGCAAGCTTGCTGGCAATCTTGCTCCCCCCCCGCCCAAGTGGGGGCAAGTGGAGCAAGATTGTTTGGCAATTTTGCTCGAATAATTGTTCTAAATTCCCGGCACACTACGGCCGCTGCTGCACCTCCTCCCCGTCATCGTGGTGCTCCTCCTACCTTTGCTGCTCCTGTTCTTCCCGATCTTGCTGCAACGACTTGCCACCAATACCACTGTCACTACCCTACCACAATTGTGGCAATTACTAGTTTAGGAAGAGTTTGACACGACCTGGAAGAACGCAATGCGCGCCCTGATGCTGAAGCCCGAAGCTCCAGATCAGGAATGTCCGTGACTTGGTCCGGACAGAAGAGTGGAAAGCCCTCACCGACATCCTGAAGCCGGTCTTTATTGGCTGCGGGCTGCCGAAGGACAAAGGTCACGACCATTTGTCGGCACCCCGGAGCTTAGATGCCCTTTCTTTGTCGTTTGATGATGCGAGGACATGCCTAAAGTGAATGGTGCCGGGTTCGTGCTTAGGTCCAAAATCTTCACCCGCCTCACGGATTACATCGACCATCCCAGCGACGACCTGATCGGGCCGCTCGTGTTAGCTCACGAGCGCTTCCGTGCTCTGGGCCCTGGAACTCAGCTTGTGTGTTTGAAGAGAGAGGAGTTGAGTGAAAGAAGCTTTCACATGCCGAGCTGAGTTCATTGTCTCTTGAGGCGGAGCTGAGTTTGGCGCGCTTTATGCCATGATGGCGATGGTGACCCCCGTCTTGAATCAAGGGTTCGGGGCTCGACCATGTTTGGGTCTTCGACTTTTTTTCCTTTCAACCTTGCGGTTTGTGAGGTTCGGGGTGCGAGGTGGAGGGAAGCTGATTTGGTTTTGAGGGCCGTGAGTTAAAAGCCATCAGATCGTGGTTCCTTCTTTCTTGGGGCCGGAATTCATTTCTGTTTCATGTTACAGTACACTCCATGAACCGCTCCACATTCTTTTGTTCCGGGCTTGCGGCGCTGAGGCTTTAGCAAGGAGTCTTATGATCTCTTGGACGATGTAGGTCAGGCGGCTGCGCTCTGCATGGCAAGCTGAGTGTGCGACCCCTCATTTTGATGCGGCATTTCGGACTCCACTCGAACCCTAAACGCTGGAACTTGCCCACAGCAGAGCGCATAATTTGACTTCGAAGTCCCGCTGTGGGCAGACAGGTCGGAAAGGAAAGGATGCTTTTCGAGCTTTCCGAGCATCCCCTAAAGCTGTAAATGCGGTGCAGACAGCATCACCACCATCATCGTCCTCGTCGTCGCCGTCGTCATTGTTATCGTCATCGTCATCGATCTCAAAGCATTCTTCAGATGCCAAGCCTCAAGGATCCGAGCGGGAATTTCCTCAAGCGCGCCCATGGAGCTGCGCAGCTTGCTGCGCCGCTATGAGCATGCCACTTGCCAAACTTGAAGCCAAGGGCCCAACGCGCAGCATGGTGCCGAAGACTTCAGTCGAGATTTCGGCAGGGGGTTTAGGGAAAGTGTCGTGCAGATCACGAGCCCCCACATGCTCACATCGTGTACGACAAGCCGCCGACTCTGTTGGACAATCTCAGGCTGCGGCGGATGCCCTGTCAGGTCCTCAGGTAGATGTGATTTGGTTTTGGCCATCTTCTGTGAGCCAGTGGTCAGACCCTTGAGATTGCCATGTAAAACTTAGTCCTGGCCTCCGCGCGGAGCTTGCTCGTGCGGCTGCTCGGTTGGAATTCTCTGCTGGAGCACGTCCAGTAGGCTGAGAGAGGGCTTACAGGGCTTGCAGCTGAAACACATGCCTGGGAGTTCTCTGCCGAAGGAATCATTAATAATGCGAGGGCAGTCTTTGAACTTTGCAAGGTCCTGATTTTTGAGCTTTGCGAAGCCTTGTGATGCCCGTGATGGGTGCGAGCCGGCCAGACATCGTGTGAGCCTCGGTTTAGGTTGCACGTCACCACGGAGATGAGTTGGCTACTTCCTATCTTGCGACTTGGCGGCACGCCAACGGATTGTACAGTCATGTTTCCGCAGCTGCACATCTGGTTCTCGAAGACAGGTGTTTGCAACCATGCCTGTGCATGCTAAAGTCGCTTTGCCCATGGTTGAGGCAGGGACGTCATCGTCCTCGTCAGTTGCTGTCGCTGTTGCTGCTGGGATGCAATTACTGCAGCCGGGGTGCTCTGAGCATTTTGAATCCTCGCGTTGCTACATGGGTAGTTGTCAAAATTATGGTCCCTTTTGCGGTACCCTAAATAGTAGGTGCCGTAGTATAATAAGGACCCAAGAAGGGACCATAATTTTGACAGCCACCCACATAGCAAAGTGAGTGCAGACCGACGGATTGGTGGAGCCAAGGATCTGGCGGCAACACAGGCAACGGAGACAGATCGTAGGGCATACTTGGAGGATCATGGGACTTAGTGACTAGGGTTATAAATAAGGTAACTATAATTATAACCCCAATTAGGGTACTTATAACCTTACTTACTAAGTCCCATGATCCTCCAAGTACGGCATAGTGGGCTTTTGCAGGTGTCCGTATGTGCAATGATTGGAAGAGCACAGGTGCTTTTTGTTTGGGCATCACGTGCAGGCTACTCTGACTGCGGGTCGCGGACAAAGTGTTCCGGCCTGCGGGACCCGGGACAATTTGTCCGAGACTGAGGCCATGCATTCTTCAGGGGTGGGATTGCAAATCCACCAGTTGCATCAGCCCACAACAGATGTCGTTTCGAAGCTTTCGGCTGCTTTCACAGCCTCATTCAGACATATTGGCAAGGTTAGATTTCCAGTATGGTGATCGCAAACAACAGCCCCCATCCTAGAGCATAGCAGCAAAGGACAGCAGATTGATCGTTGGACAACTGAGTGGCATCCTCAACGCTTCTGTCCATCTCGAAGTAGTAGTTGGTTGCTCGATTCAAGGGCTGTTTGAGGCAAAATCCTTTATGAACATATCCTGCATCCTGTTTCGTGCGTCGCTGATAGAGTGCAGCGGCGTTCAGTCGGGGAGGGGCGCGTGAACTGTCGATCATAATAATAGTGCGGCATTGGTGATGAGCAGTCTGCGCAGAAGCTGCCACCACAACTCCAGCGACCGACTTACAGACAGGGACAGGGCGGAGTGTAGAGCAGCAGGCGGCAGTTCTCGATGTCGTAGTACGGCCAAAAGAGCGAGCCGCCTGTTGTTTCGTGAAGCCGAAGCTTCGAGGAGAAATTTGTGGCATCGTTTAGAGCTTCAGTGCAAACCAGCACAAGAGCTTTTGAAACAGAAAGTATGTACTTGACCACACCCCATACTCCAGGTGGAATTTCTAGAGCTTTCAGCTGCTGCCGCAGCCCACGTGCCACCGTCAGGAGCGCTCCTCCTCTGGTCCGACTGCGGATTTGTGGCTGCAACAGGCTGCAACATGAATATCGCGGGATGTGGATCATGTTCATAGCGACGTCAGTGTCAGGCATCGCAGCACGCAATCAGAAGCCTAGTCGGCCATTTCGTTACAGAAATACATACCCGAGCAAATCTGATTCCACTTAACTGAGGCCGAACATTCTTCTGCAAGCCTGTGCTGGAAATCCACCAAACCCTAAACAACCCTAAACCCTAAACCCTAAGCACAGGCTATGCTGGCGCCAAAGCCGTCATTTGTCGATGACGGCTTTGTGCTCGGCGAGGCGGCTGGAAGGGCATTGCAATATCAGATGTGAGCTTCCGAAAAGCGGAGTACCTTATCTACTTGGAGGATCATGGGACTTAGTAGCTAGGGTTATAAATAAGGTAACTATAATTATAACCCCAATTAGGGTTCTTATAACCTTACTTACTAAGTCCCATGATCCTCCAAGTAGGAGTACTTACTCCTTAGAATCAGGATCCTACCCCGTGGGGTGCTGCCCCCTGTTCCCACTAGCATGCTCGTTATGCTGTCCTATAGGGCTTACACTCTTTAGTCTCCCAGTGAAGTTGTGAAATTCTGCCAGTATTGCTAGTATCGCAGCTGTTGCGCGATCCATAGGATCATCGTGTTTGCGGAAACAGTCCTTCCATTAGCACAACAATTACATTCACGTCAACTGCGGTTGTTACTAGTTGTAACTGTTGCATTCATTGAGTAGTACAGTAGCAGAAGTATCAGAAGCAGTAGCAGTAGCAGCAGCAGGAGGAGGGGAAGAGGAGGAGTGGTAGCGGTAGTGGTAGTGGTAG